TGATCCCTGGCAATGCGATCCTGGTAACACATGGGAGAGCTTCGGCAAGCTCCCTCCAAAAAGCCGGAGAAAAATTAGATCAAAGCAAACCCCATCACCCCTAAAACACGAAGATGGGGACAGTGCTGTAGATGGGGTGTTACAGCGTCTGATTCCTGTCCGGCACTCTGAGAGGGGCAACTGTGCCCTGGAACGGTGGAGGCGTTTCTGGGGTGGTGGCGAGGGTCCAGGAGTGCTGAAGGGAAGGGGGAAGTCGGTCCCTTTGTTGGGTGTAACGGCTCTCATGTCTTCTCCTCCCTCCACCCAAAATCAAACAGGAACGCACAAATGAGATTTATACCTCCCCGAACAATGTTAACTGCGAATGGTACTAATTAGCGCTCCCCTAAATGGCAGTGATTAGTTTACCAGCTGATGGAATATTTATGCTAGAATTTTTATTTTTTTTATAGAATAAAAAAAAAAAGAAACCACCACAAAACCAGCACAACACACACACAAAACGCTAATTATTTATTTATTTTACAAATTCCTGCCGCTGGTTGCACTGAAAATGTGACTCACGCAGCGGGAGCTGAAACTGGAGTGGCTCTTCTACCGAAAAAAAAACAGATTAAAGCACAGGAAACACAGCTTGCGAGAACAGGCAGGCGCTTCGAGAGCCATTTGCGACACCAAGTTAACAAATAACACTGCGCTCGAAGTACGATAAATTAACGATTTTAAAAATAATACAACTTCCCCCCATTGCCTTGCCAGAGTGGTTTTTCCGTGCCGCTCCGCCAGCCCTTTCCCCACGTCCTCGCTTTTGCCAAACTGGTAGGTTCCAGTTCGGTCATAAATCGCTGGATGCGGGACGTGCAGCGGGAGGGAGGTGGCGGATGTGGATGATGTCCCTCGGCTTTCCCTGACCCGGCGTTTCGGAAGGCGAATCCTTTCTAGAGCTCTGGGAACCTCCATCGCTAATCCACGCCTGCCTCCCCTTGGACAGGCCTGGCCACTTCCTTTCCCAACAAACCTCTGGGTTTTGGGTTGGTTTTTTTCTCCCCCCCCCCCCCTCCTTCTCCCCTGCTTGTTTGCTTTTCCGAAAGCTGATTCAGCCTTAAAGCTGAGCGGGTTTGCGCCGCCTGACAGCGGCATTTTGCATTCTGCCCCCACCGCCTGGGAGAAAGGCGAATAAACTGCGATGTAATCGCTCGTTTGCAGCCAGGATGACCTTAATTTGATTATTTTCATATTTTGGGGAGCTTTTTTTTTTTGATTCTCTGAGTGTGGCAGCAGCTCGGCCTGCAGAAGGCGAGGGTGGACAATGGCTAACGGGGAGCTGCCGAGGCGCCCAGGGTTGTCTTTTGCCGGCGATGTCCATCTTTGATCAGCCCCATGGGAGGGGGGCGAGTGGGGCCGGGCCCCCCCTTCCTCGGGGGGTTTGCAGGCGTCCCCAGGGATGGCGTGTTGGGGGGGTGTCCTCACCCCCTCCCTTGGGGGGATGAGGGTGGGTTTGGGAGCAAGGTTGCTCCTGATGATGGAAGATGGAGAGTGGGGAGGGAGGATGGAG